CCCCAAAACCCCAAAACCCCAAAACCCCAAAACCCCTAAATTGTAAAATTTAATTGAATTTTTGTGGTAAATTATTAAACTTTTAACCAATATCAATATGAATTACGATATGCGAGACTCTTCGAATTTTTCTTCCTCTAGACATTCAAGAGGATCTAAACGGTATCAAAAAGATATTGAAATGGAGTCTGACAATGGAGTAGATTATGAAGAGGCTGAATTTTTAAAAGAAGACAACTTAGATAACCAACCTTCTACCAACTCTCGCTTACTTGTTCGTAGTATGAGTAAATCTCTAAGAAATCTGGAAGAATGAGAAGAGAAAGGCATAGATTCAGAAGATTTAGAAAATGAACAATATTCTCAAACAAGAAGATTAATTAATAGAGAAGAAAGTAAAGGGGGAGATACAAAATATGAAGAGCTACACATTGATCCTGAGAAGCAGAAAAGGAATATTGAGCAAGTTGAAATTTTTTCAAATGTAATCAGCAAATTGATATTAAGGCTCAATAATTTCACCTCTATATATGTTGATACAAAGTTCTTCTATGAGCAGTATGATACTGTCATGTAGATGCTCAACAGATTCATTTATAATGAAAATCAGTCAATGATTTTGATGTCTCGTTCAAACACAGTTTTACATTAATTTATCAGTAAGATCAGGAATGACCTAAATGAAAAACTCAAGGAAAAAGATTCTGAGTGAGATATAAGAACAGTCAGGATAAACTCAATTTTGACCACAAAAGAGACTGAAATTCTCAATCATTTTGCAGAGTGATTAGGTATGGATATTATAGACAAGCAGGGTTTATCACAAGAGATGAAGGAGAGAATGAAAGATTATTTTAAACAGTTCCCTAACATCGCTGTGCTTTTCATTCTTGAAAATGTAGAATACTATGTTGAAAACTCAAAGCAATCTCTTTTATATAAAATCTTGGACATGCTGCAGTATGCTAAGATTAAGTTCGTCTTTATTGCTACTTCTCAAAGAGTGAATATCATCGATAGTTTCGAGAAAAGAATCTAAAGTAGATTCTCACATAGACAAGTCCTATTTTATAGTGAAGATTTTGACACCTTTAAAGAGTGAATCGAAGATACAATTCAAAGTATTGGCGAATATGATGAGATATCAGAGCAAGGAAGACAGTTTTAGGGGCTCTTTGCATGATTTTATTATGGATTCAGAGTATGGGTGTGCAAAAATTTTCCAGAAGTTATTTGATAAAGGAAAGGATTATGAATTTCTTTGTAGAACACCAAAATAGCACTTTCTCACCTCAACAGTACCTATCATTCAGACTCAGACATGATTGAACATTTTGAGGATAATGGTGGAGACCTTTTTACGAAGAGCCTTGACTATGTAGACAATCTTTCTACATCCAATGATTTTAAAACAATTTTGTCAAGGATGCCGGAAGCTTACGTTGTGGTGTTGATTTCTGCAAAGAACTCTTTCCAGAATTGAATGCAAGAGTTCTTCAATTTCACTCTAGCTTACAATGAATATAAGTTATTTATCAGAAGAAATCAAAGCAATATTGTGAGAATATCTAAGGAAACATTCATCAAAATCTTTATCGATTTAGTGAAGAAAGGATTCATCATGACAAAGGCATCTACAGAGGCCATCATCAGTGTGAACAGCAAAATGGGATTGGGAATCGAATTTGAAGAATTATCAACTATGATTAGAGAAAGAGTGAACTGAGACAAAGAAATCTCAACTCTTGTGATAATATTTTCGGAAAATCGTTCTGGAGACACATCAAGATAATTTGATAATTCAATATTAACTTTAACTTTGGGGTTTTGGGGTTTTGGGGTTTTGGGGTTTTGGGGTTTTGGGG